CTTGTGTCGCTAAAGTTTTTTCGGGACGAGGTTACGGAAAGTTACTTAACAAACGGAGACGTAACAGACCTTTCTTTCTGTAAGAGGTAGTATTGATATTATCAAGGTGTGCTGTTTTAGCCCAACCTTTATATTTACTATCAACACTGTATTTATGTATGATTTTTTTTCCATTAGTGGATGGATCCAAGTAAATGTTTTAAACCATCATAACATTCTATAGGTTTCAGCATTGCATAATATTTATGTTCCATATTTTTTCGTTGTTATTCGATTAATTAATTAGCTTTTATGTAATTTTCAACTTGTAAATATACAGAGATCTTTTTTAGCAAATAATCTATTTGTTTACCTTTGTAAAAGAGAACAAAATGATGAAATGTGTCCCTTATTGGTGGCAATTATATCAACTTATCAAAGTAAATTATTCTATAATTTACTTTAGAATAAGGTTTTGTACATTATCACCAACTGCCCATTTTGAAAACATACAACAGAACTCCAGTATCTTCTATTCCACATCCTTTCACTTTCCATGCTACATTATCATTTTCATCATCACTTATAATTTTTCAAAACTCGTTCAAATGATTGCTTTTGGTGTGGGGTCTTCAATACTTCTATTCCTATGTGGATATGCAAAGTATCTCTGTACAATCCGAGCAAAATTGTTTGTGATAGATAAATCTTTCTAAGCAGAACAATGATTGAGCTGCAGTGTTGTAAACTAAAGGATTCATACAGAAGAGTAACTCACTCAACCAAGATAGGTGTAACTTACAAAGGAGGAGAGAAGATACCGTCTGGCATGAAGTGAGTGACAAGAGGATTTGAATCAGGGTGAGCACTGAGTACAATTCACCTCAGAAAGTCCGTACCATATTTTAATATGTTTTTATATTTATCTATATGGTTCTATACTTGAGAAAAGTTAGACAAAAAGTGTGATCTAATAAAACCGTTTTGTGTAGAAAATGAAAATTTAAGAAACCAATATCAATTAAAGCTCCAAAATAGGTTTAAACCTGCATTAGTCTTCTGTAAAAAATTTCCATACTCACTCTTCTGGGGTACAAGTGGACCCCATCATGAAACAATTAAGTAAAAATACTTAAATAATAATATACTATCATTTTAGAAACAAGAAAAAGTAACACTCAAATTCTTTTCCTTTATTAATCAATAAACGAACACTGAATGTTACAACTTGTTTCTTTTTTACCACCTAAACTAAGCATAACAATTCAACACAAACTAGTGAATACTGAAATTAATGAAAACAACAAATGTGTATGTGCTTCTATCGTCAACACCGATTTTTACAAAATATTTGAGGTCAATGAAGCAAAGTTAAAGTATTATCAAACTATAGAAAATATAGGAGAGGAAAAGCAGCGAAGAGAAGTTCTGAAATCATTATTAAAAGAATAAGAGGCACATTGAAAGCAATATAGATATCACAGGACACCTGGAAACAAATTGATCAAGGAAAAGTCATACAAAAGGCAAGAGTCCAAGCCAGCATAGGATAAAAAAGTGAAAAAAGAAGAAGAAAGGACAAGCAAAACTTGTTGGAAAGGAAACTGTCTGAAGCAGAAAAAGCAACATTGAAAAATGACACAAGAACAACCTTCAGGATAATAAACCAATTGGCTTGGTGAGAGAAATATACCTATCAAAGACAAAAGAATGAATATAATAGAAATGGAAGAAGAAAGCACACAACAATAGGTTGAATATTTGAAAGAGTTATTGAATCATCAAAACAACGTTGTTGAGGAACCAATGTTGTTGCCAATAATGAGGAAGACGATGTAGTATAAATACTGGTAGAATAACAGACGAAGAAATAGTGAAAGTTATTCAAAAATGGAATAACAACAAAGCACCCGAAATAAATTAGATACATTCATAAATACTTAAAGAAGGTGAAGAAGGGTTAAAAAATGGTTTACAAAAGTTTGTAATACAATATGGGAGGAGGAATTAATGCTGAAAGACTAGAATATCGGTCCTGAAACATTCGATCATTGTGTCCTATGTATAGGAGCATTCACAGTATAACACCAACAATTATTCTGAAAAGTCTTACCATCTCCACAGGAATTTCCACAAAGTTCGTCTTATGGTGCAGAAAGTCATGAATGGCTGATAAATTCACTAAGATATAAAATCAAACAACTAATTATAATTATATAAAAGGATTATTCTTCAAAAGCAAGATTTTATATACCCAAATGTTGATAAAAACATACTTTAATAACTATTACATAGTAATAAAAATCTAAACTGTTAAGATTTCTTGCATTAAGTTATATCTTTGTATCTTAATATAAGGCAAGTATTTACAACAGTGATTTCCTCTCAAGGTAGGTCTAATTTTATATTGTAAAAACAGTAATAAAAGAACTGAAACAATGCTGTTTTTTCCAGAAAGCTCATTAAAACATGACAATTTATTATGATACTAATGTATTTTTTACAATAAGCACTTCAATAACAAACTTTCCAATAATTGACTATTCTTCTTCTTCTTCTTCTTAAAGTGCTGAATAAATCCTATGAAAAATGGAACGAAAATTATAAAGATTTAAAATTACTACAACTGAAAGTTCATAACCTCATGGTAAATTTATGGGCCTTTTTTCTACCTTCAAATCTACCTTACTTCAAGTAATAATAAAAATTAAAGGGTAATTAAAACTCGTACTTGCTGGTTTGGACGTTACAGACCAAGAGTACTTCAGTCCAAATGCTCCTCCACCTATAATCTGTGAAATTCGTAACCGAACCACTCCTGTACAAACATGTTGAGGCCCATGTAAGAAGAATTTTGGTTTTATCTGAAAATCAAATGTCTAAATTATGCTTCTGCATCTTAAACTGTAGATTCTTCTTTTGTTATTGTTTCTGAAACACAATTTTTCACAGCATATATAAAAATAAGCAAATTATTCACATGTTAACTGACATAACACGTAACCCGGTGGTTCACAAGAAAATCATAGGGCCTAGAAGGCTACAAATTGAGTTTCAATACACACAGTAGTTACAGCACAGATAGTCTATTGTGCAGCTTTGTTTTTAATATCAAACAAACAGATCCTGATGCTAATTTGATTGATTTTTACTATCACTACTATTCACCTACTTAAAGTTTCTATGCTATTCCTTGCTCAATCTACATTAGTAAGTTTAAAATAAGTGGCTATTACATGATTATTCAATACTTTATTTTGTTACAAATGTTGAAATAAATTAATTTTATCTCTTTAGTATGGCATATACACGTTTTGTTCGTCAATATCTTTTATTAATTAACTTGAAATTGGCATAATTCGATGACTCTGAATGGAAGAATAAGTAACTGTGACAGATTTACTAATACTGTTGCGTCTCTGCTTGTTTGATAATTTCCCGTAAAATTTATTTCCGAGAAACTTCAGCGAAACGAGATCTTTTTTTATTACAACTAGTTTATTCTTTCTCGATACAACTTTGTAATTCAAGAATTTCCATGGTCACGTTAACTTAAACACATGCTATAATTCAAAACGATTCAAGCACTTTACTTACGGTCACTACCGCTCACTTGACTCAATTATCTGTCTCTATATTTCTCGCTTCAATCTGCTATTATTATCTCTGCTTTATTTGCCGAGCTTATATATTAAAATAGAGGGCATCTGGCAAACACTCGAACCTTAATGATCCTTCTAGAAACTCATTACGTGTTACCAGAGTCACGTGACTTCCGCTGTCGTAACAATATTAAGGAAGTTCCAGACTAGAAAGAAGACTTTATATTGTTTGTAGCTATGTAAAACTTTTGTATATAAATCATTCTGTGTAAAAACTATTTGTAATAACCATTATTGTAAATTGTATTATTGTTTGGATATTAAAATATATTTGTATTAAAAAAAACTGTGTGTATCAATCTTGTTGGCAAATATCATAAATTGGATATGTATCGGCATTTATTTAACTACTAAATCTAAATTACAATAGCCTATTTGAAATTGTACTACGTAACATAACATATACATTGGATTTTCAATAAAAATAATGGTAAGTAAATATTTAAAACTCGTTCTTTGGGAAGAACCTTTGTTATACCCTTGAAGTAAAGATACATGAAATTTTAGTACGTTGGATAAAGATAAAGCTAGTACAGAACTTTATACAAAGTGTTTCTTTGCTACAAAATTATGCATTCCCAGTGTATCTAAAATGATATATTTTGGAAGTTATTAAGTTTTTTTTTGCATTTACAGAATCACACAACCATACCTGCCATTTAAATGTATTTTAGTTAATTGTTCTCAATTTTTGTGCTAATTCATTGATCCTTATTATTGTTCATCCACTTAGACTGTACATGTTGTTCGTTATACAAAATAGCTGTTCAAACTTAATAATACTACACTATCATATAAGTACTTAATACTGGATTTAGTAACAGTGAAAACCCATAAAGCATGAAATGTAAATTACCATTCTTTCAGGAAAGTTTACATGAATCAATCCTTCTACTTCATCACTGAAACTGTCCTGGGAACAAAAAGTTCGAATTCCATTGTGATGGGCAAAAGTCAGTGTCATATTTAGACTTAGTTTTACAGTAGATTGGAGATAAAGAAACAGAGCATTGACAGAGTTCCAGCATGAAAAATCTGAAGAGGAAATATTTATATATCTAATTAAACTGGACAAAAAATGAACTTAATAAATTAAAGAAGCCAATATAAAATGAAGTATGCACTACATATATACTATTTTCATAGCCATAGACTACAGTGATTCATTGAATCTTACAAATAATTTATACTTTCATTGTATATATTTACATTTCATTTGATAAACTCAAAAGTGACTAACAGCAGTATTAATTGAATTAATATTTTGCATTAATGATAACAGAGAATTATTGTTAATCTCAATAATAGGTTCATCATTCCCTCTCAAAAAGTAGCTTAATTTTATGATGTTCAAACTAAAGAACAAAGGTCAGACAAATATGTATCTAGCTAAGCCTTTTACGATAAACTTAAGAGACAAAAAGTAAAAACATAAATTAACAAAGTTGCTAAAATATAAACGAGATGGACAGTTTTATATTTATCTAAATGTACTTGAAAATTAATATATACCAACAGCGTTATCAAAGTTGGTCTCCCTAAGGAATGTATAAAAATTGTGTCATGAGTTTTACTTAAGAACATTACCCAGTTAGATAATATATAGGATTTACTACTAATTCTCATGTTTTAATTTCAAGTAAGGAGTTAGTTTATATTTTGTTTTCCTACTTAGAGTGTCACAATGTGTTCCATTACAGGCTTAGTACAACATTATTATGTGTTGGTTATAGTTCTATTGTTTGGTTGTAATTACAATTAACAGTTACTAAGTGTTGAATTTCAAATACAAGTACAGAATTATCACTAAAGTGAGTAGTTTAGTTTAATTTTAGTATGTATTCAGGAATTTGTCTGAAACAATGACTGTCTAATGGTAACATCACTCCCAGCATTGACCACTTTGAGCCTAGCTGTGTGCTGTATCAATCTCTGATATTGGATTAACTGCTGACACAACTTACATCTGCAAGATCTATCAGATACTGACGTACATAGTGGGTAGATTGACAAATCATCACACAGAGATAACACACTCTGTTACTAGAGGGTAGTAAAATATTGAGGTGCGTAGTTTTTTTTAGCCATAAACATTGAGCTGTTAAATGACCCCTATTGAAAGGTGAACCAGACTCCACTGGTTTCAAATTATGATAGCTTATTACACTAACATTGGGATCAGTGGAGGAAAGTATTGCCTTGACAAGCTCTCTGATTTCTGTGATATCATACTTTTTTTATAGTCTAAACTCTTACATCTGATGAGTTTACTTTCATGGCTTTAACGTCATGCCAAATGCTTATGCAGAGGCTTAGATAACCACTACAGCATCGTTACTGATATTATTATTCTGGGTTCTCAGTGGAACAATTACAGTTGCAAGTTATAAGCTATCTAGAAGGTTCACCTTAAATTACTTATACAAATCTAAAATACCAATGCATGTGTGAAACGTAACACAACGCATCCATTCATATGTTCATAGAAGTGTTATCAGACAGGAACCTGCAGCCACAAGTATCACGTGTGTGTGCGTGTTACACTTTGTATTTTACAGACACTCCACAGTACAGACAAAACCTTATAGTACTAAACTCTATTGAAATAAAAATAATTTCTCACAGTAAATCTGAAAGATACATCTGTATATTCCTACTTTTTCTTTATACCATCTGAAATAGAAGAAATATCGTCTGCGATGATCAACTTACGTATGATGTGCACGTGAAGACAGTGGTATAAAATAATCTGAACAAGGATGTCGAGCAGTTTTTGTGTCCTCGGTCATCTATCTATCATTAAGCCAACTTAAATTAACAACTTCCACACAAGAAGCCCCTATGATATATAATGATGAGAATGATTAAATCTAGAAATCAAACAATTTGTTTGTTTGTTTGAAGCTAAGCACAAAGCTACACAATGGGCTATCTGTGGTCTGCCCACCACGGGTATCGAAACCCGGTTTCTAGCGGTGTAAGTCCGCAAACATACCACTGTGCCAATGGGGGGGGGGGTGAAATCAAGCAGTCAAACCCACAGTTAATATATACAGATAAGGCATGAACCAGTTTGGGAAGAGGAGGCAAGTATTGCATGGAATACAGGCTATGCTATCTACAGGCATTCAACTTCCAAATACAGTATGCAGCAAGACCAATCTCACAAGAACTACATTTTCGTACTTCTACAAGCTTTCGGCTGGCACATAAACAAAAAAATAAGTAATGTCAGCCATTTATCGTGACGAAAACAAAGTCGGAACCTTCGTGCATAGACACAGAAACCCAATGAGTACAGCTTAGTTAAGGTATGCATGTCATGACATTTTACATAGTTATATCCAAAATTTACTAATCAAATAAACTTGGCTCCAAAACGTAGGTTACGATTCAATTTTTTTATATTAATAAAGTTTAATTTCTTAATTTTAAAAGGAACTATTTTTATCCCCTTTTATCTTTATATGCCTTTCAATATAATCATATAATCACTTGTATGTGTCTGATGCACAAGTTTATAACCAATAACAGTAGAAGCTTCTTCTCTACACAAATCTTACGATTTTTTCTTTGTTGTTTAGAAGGAAACTCAAAGTCAACGGAATTCATAGCTTTTGTATCTATCTAATCTTGTTATCTGAGCAGTTAAGGCATTCGTTTAATATATTTATAGCTTATATAGGAAGTCAGATAACTTATTGTAGTTTTGAGACATTATTCTAGTGACTGATATATAATTTGTGCTCTGAAATATTTGAAAGCTAATTAAACTTTATTTGGGCAACCAACTATGTGTAAAAGTGAGGCCTAGCACAATCATGCCTGCAAGAGCAGAGATCATGCAGGTTCGCAAACTATGATCTTGGTGTTTAAAAGAAACGACGAGTGCAAATTGTTGCTTTTCATAAATGGATAAGCCTGTTTTCTGGTACAAAGTCCACTGATAAAATCATAAAAGTAAAAGAAAACTGATGTGAAAAGGTTAAGAGTTCAAAGTGTAAATATAAGTAATTTGAATTTCAAGAGACAACTGAGCATTCAAATAAGAAGAAAAATGTACTGATGATATTATTTCAGAGTAGTCAATTTTAAATTTCACTAAAGTTAAAGTTTGATTGTTTGGTATTAAGCACAAAGCTGCACAATGGGCTATCTTTACTGTGCCCACAACAAGTATTAAAAACAGATTTTTCTTTAACCACTGATCCACTATCGGGTTAGAGTTAGGGTAGAGAAAATAAAATATAAAATATATAGTTTTACCGAAAAAAAGCTTTTGCTATTTACTAAAGAGATTCTAGAGCCAACATAAATGAAATATCAAAACTCTAAGAAGAAGGTAAGTATTTTCATTCTTAACATGAAAATTACTTTTCACTCAAACTGGCTGAGTAAAGGCTTCACAAATACAAAAAAAATATTTAGTAAAATGCTTTATTAAAAAAAGCTGATTTTTTGTGTACAACAGACCTGTAATGCTTACCAAATGCGTGCCAAATTTCATTATTATATACTTAGTACATATAAAGTTATAGTATGTACAGTTTCATGATTACGGTCAAATTGTCTTCACTATATTAAAAAGAGCATCAACACATACACACAAAAATTCAAAAGGAAACAGAGTTCATAACGACATCTGCTTATCAAAAGGTTAGCCACTCCATCCTGGGTTATGCACTACTATTTATCAGTATGAGTGCTACAAAGCTAGGTAAGATTCAGAAGATACAAAATACCTTGTTTAGAATGGTCATGTTATGTACTTCAGTTACCCCATTTCAACTGTATTACACTTTAAAAGTCTTAGAAACATTGCAGTGCACCAACAGCAATTACAAGAAATATTATTCACAAGGATCTTGCAGTCGTGATACGCAACATATCATGTCTTCTACTTACTTTAGCTATATAGGAATTTAAAAAAATCGTTTATTTAGTTTCTGTGTAGTTTTCAGCATGAGTATATTATTCAGAAAGTCATTAAGAATGACTTGTTCTTGTTGCTTTGCTCTTTATAGCAGATAATGTCAATTTTGCTAAAATATTGAAGTAATATAGAGCATTCAGGATTAAAGGATTAACGACTGTAATATCATTTGTTGGTCAAATAGATATTATCTTTATGTTACAGCTGCCCAATACATTCAGAGAATAAGTTATAATTATAATATGAATCTAAGTTTCAAATGGACAGCAACTGCCTGTTGTAGAAACCTACAAGTGTAGAGGACGACGGACGTTTTGAAAGTCTTCCGCCTTTTGTCTTCATGTCAGTGCATGTTTGTGTTTATTTCTGGCAGTTATTTTGATTTTAAAATAATTATTCCCAAGGAAATAATCACTAATCAGGGGTGTTCGAAGATTAAGCAATCTTTCTTCACCCCGCGCGTGGCCTAGGAATATGGGCTTAAATTGAGAAACAGGAAATTAATGCAGACAAGCTATGTAAATTTAAAAAGGTAAACGTAAAAGTCAAAAGTAGAAAGTAAAGAGTAAAGAGCAGAGTAAACTAAACTAAATGGCCGATATCGGACAGATGGTCCATTAGGGCAGCGGATATCTATAAATCCTATGCTAAGAATTTAATTTGGGGGGAAATGGGAGTACGCCGAAAAAACCCACTTTCACTGGTAAAGACCAATCCGTTACCAGTGCCTGGTTAGCAAGAAGAAGTAAGTTGGGAAGACAAAGTGAAGTCCAGTGCTGGGGGTTGATTAAATCTTAAAAGAATTGTGAAGTCTCCTGATGTTTGCCAGGGCTACTGGGGTACAGATTCAGGTTCCGGTATGGTTGGGGTGGCATGAGGTCGTTGTTGTCACTGGTAAGTGGGTGGAGGGCACAGAAAGGTTCATCGTTACCCGTGGTCGGGAAAGGTGTTGATTATGAGAGCGTTGGATGAATATGACGGCGAGGGTGTAGAAAGTGGCATGGGGCTGAGAGGCGGGTTGCAGGTTTGTTGAGAAGCATCGTTGCTTACTGGAAAGACTGGTGGCTGGGTCTGGGTGCCTTTTTTCTTATTGTAGTGGTGGTTTGGTTCATCTTCGCTTATGTTTCTATCATAGGTGTAGGCGGAGTTTGAGTTGCTTGGTCAGATTTGGTGGCAGTTGCAATTTGGATTACGTGAAACGTGGGCTTGGGGGATGGGCTGAGAAAGGTAGGGGTGGGTGAAGCATTTGGTATGGGTTTTCTGCTTTGAAGTGATACTAATCAAGATAGCAGCTGTGGGTGAGAATAGAAAATGGAGGGTGAACCTGTTTTCTTTGATGAGATATGGTGGACTGCATGGATTGTAGAGTTGGTTGTAGTTTCGAAGGCTCAGTGAATTTCCTCTGGCATAAAGGATAAATGGACGTTTCTGAGAAATATTGTGTGGAGACTGGGATTGCTTGTAGAAGGTTGGCAAGTGACAAGTGGGTTTGAAGACCTAGGGTGGCAAAGGTAGCGGAAGTCTTCGAGTGTCTTGGGCTGTATACCTCCCTTGCGTAGATAACGGGTGCACTCAGGGAATACTCGGGCTTGGGGCTTGTAGCGGCAGATGAAGTTGGCTGTGTCCCGCAGCGAGAAATCCAGCAGTAGTCCGGTAGTCCATTGATAATTAATGGCGGCGTAAGGTAGTAGACAGACTGCATACTATCATGTATCAGGGTCGATAGCTCACGAGAGGATGATCGTGATTCTGACGTGACCCGAATGAATGATGTCAGTTTGTGTGTGGTGTAGTTTGGTCTTTATAGTGTTCTAGTGGGGTGTGAAGAGCGTGTTATGATTGGTTGGTTAAAACACGTTTCTAATTGGAGGAGAGACTTCCTGTAGCCTTAACCAATGGTAGCCACAGTTTACTCACCTCTAATCCTGAATCTCTGTTTAGTGAAGGTTTGCTTGTGTTAATGTAAAACGATTGATTAATTTTTCTTGTCTTCCAAAATGCGTCTGTGTCGATGATTCTAGATTTTTCCCATTCTATGTTGTGTCCAGTTGACATGGCGTGTTTTGCAGTGGCTGAATTTTGTGTTTTCATTAGTCTTGTGATGTCTTTATCTTCCTTTATTGTTGTCATGAGTCTTCTTCTCATTTCTCCAATGTATGTTTTGTTTCAGGAACACGCAATTTCATAAATGACGTTTTTCTGTTTATTGTTGGTAGGTTTCTGTTTGTTTTTCACAAGAATCGATCTTAGTGTTTTATAAGGTTTCCACCGAATGTGTATGTTGAATTTCTTAGCTTTTCGTTGAGTTTTTCACTGACATTTTTCAGGTATGGGAGATATATGGTTGTAATGGTAGTGGTTTATTTACTTTTC